AGCTTTGCTCTGCTTAGGGACCCCCAACTTCTCCCTCCCACAGGGCTTCGTTTGTGGGGTGACGTTAGGCTGGGGAGCAGCTTCACTTGGGTCCCTGCTTCCCTCTTCTGCATCATTGGGGTTGCACTAGGTGACCTCCGAGGTCCCGTCCAACCCTAGGCATTCCGTGACTCTGTGATCACTTCACCCCTCCTCCCTGCTCCCCCTTTTCTCCTCTTCCCCCCCCAAAAACCATTGCCCAGCTCCCCATGAGCACGGGGAACCCCTGGAACCCACCTGTGAGAACCCAGGAGGAGTCCAGCCCTTTCCTGGACTCCAAACGCTTCCGCTAAAGAGCAATAAGAGGAAATGGGGATAGGAGAAGATGAAGCGCAACCGGGGCAATAAAGGCTTGTTCAATGTCACCCTCCACTTGCAGCTCCCGCGTCGCCACCAGGCCCCAATTTCCTCCTCATCCTGGGTGTTTCCGTTCCTTGTGTCCTGCTCCTGGCTGCACTGGGAGCTCTGCTCGTGAGGACAGGTCTGTTGGAGGGGACTGGGGTGAAGGGTGGGCAGGGGGAGGCTGGATGTCCTCGGCAAGGTGGACCTGGGCCTCCAGCCTCAGCTCTCCAGGAGCTGAGAGGGTGGCCGGGCCTCTGTGAGAGCTGCTTGGCACAAAGGGAGGAAACGTGCTTGCTCCTTCAGATTCGCTCCTCTCCTCTTTTTCAGGCGTTCCTGGCTGGTGGACCAAGAGGTAGGAGCCCAAGGGGTGGTGAGCCCCTCCATTAGGGCATGGGGAAGCCAAGAGCCAAAGAACTCATACAGTCCTTCTGGGAGGGAGGTCTCCGGCAAGGCCAAACACTTTCCTCCTCCTCTCGCTTCTCCTTCCAGACTTAGAAGGTGGGGAATAGGGTTTTCCTAGAGCAGTTCTGGTCCTCACGCCCTACAGCTTAACGAAGTCCTCCCAAGGAGAAGCCTGCAAGATGGCTCCTACCCGCTAATCCACCCTGCAGCTCTCTGCCCTGTGTTTTAGGACCTTCTCCACCTTTGAGCCCCGGTGTCCAAGTGGGAGATGTTCTCTCCAGGGCCTGGGGGTGGTGGCCAAGGCACCGGACCATGTCCAGTATCGTTGCTTCTTCCTCCCTCACAGGGCCCAGGGCAAGCAGCGGGGCAGCCCAGAGGATGAAGTTCAATGTAAGGAGCCCGAGACCCTGGTGGAGACCCCGTGGTTGAGGGGAAAGAGCCTTTGGGAAGCAGGAGCGTGGTGGAAAGGGCAGGGGGCTTGGCCAGGGGGCCACCACGTGGGTCCTTCTGGAGGACTCGCTCATATGGGGCACTCCTAAGGCCACGTCCAGGTGCTGGGCTTCACGGTATGAGGAAGGTGAGGATGTTTCTTTCCTCTCCCCAGATGCCTCCGTCAGCGTTGCCAGAGTTTCAAAGGTGAGTCTTGGGTTTTGGTGGCACCAGCCAAGAGAGGGAGGTTGGGAAGGAGACACATTGGATGGGAGGGACATTGGATCCCTGTTGGGAGGTTGGGAAGGAGACACATTGGATGGGAGGGACATTGGATCCCTGTTGGGAGGTTGGGAAGGAGACACATTGGATGGGAGGGACAGGGGATGGGGTCCTACCTTACAGTGCAGGTCTTGGAACTACTTCCCTTGCCCAAGCAGCACCCAGTCTTTCAGGGACACCCTCCGTCATGGAGCGATGCTCATTGGTGGACCTCTGGACACACGTGCTTTGGGGAAGGTCTCAGCGAACCTTCTGCGCGTGTGGGTCCATGCACCAGCAAAGCGCTCGGAGGCTTCCTGCTCCTCCTCGACTCCCTGCCCTCCTCCGTGCTCTCAGGATGGGGTGGCAGAGCGACATTCTCCCCGTTGTGTTCACAGCCAGCTTGCCCACCACAAGATGCATCAACAACGTACGTCAACATCGCGCCACGGAGGGGCCAGCGTCGCTAAGGCCTGGCAAGCTCTTCTCAGGAGCACATGGCACCATCCATGGAGGACCCTATGGAGGACCCCATGGAGGACCTCATGGAGGACCCCATGGAGGACTCTATGGAACATCCCATGGAAGACCCCCATGGAAGACCCTGTCCGCGGTTCCCCGCCAGGCTGACACACCCAGCAACGTCCCTCCTGAGTGTCCCCCTTGGAGAAGCATTTCCCTGCACCCAGCTCCTGCTCCACGTTCCTCCTCGTCCTCGCCTCCATCCAGGAGCAAACCCCATATCCTCTGGTTTGGATTTTCCCCTTCAGACATTTTGCATAAAAGGATGAAAACCTGAGACGAGTGTAGAAATCCCCTTTCTCCCTCCCTTCCTTCCCTCCTTTTTCTCTCTCTTTCTCTCTTTCTCTCTTTCTCTCTTTCTCTCTTTCTCTCTTGCCCATGTCACTTGTCCCTCTTCACAAGTCTCCATAAAGAGCGTTGGCCAACCTTTGTTGACCCTAGTGGCCATCCCCTGTGCCAAAACCAAGCGTTCTCTGCATCTCCCTGGCTCTTTCCTCCAATGACGGAATCCAGAATGGGGGAAAAAAAACAATTCTGAGAGGATTTAATCCTGGTTTAGCCTCTCAGGATCTGTTTCTACCCCCTCGCTAAGGGGTGAAATGGTTGAGCCCAGCCCAAATTTGATGGTTTTGCCAAAGCCAAATGGGTGATTTTGAGCACATCTTCCCCTCCCATCGCTAAACTTGCGTTTTCACCCAGGAATTTCGGAATTTCATTTCCTTGTTTCTACCACCACAGGAACCTACCGTCTGTGCCCGGCACAGTGGGAAAATCTGCAATAAAATCTACTTTTAATGAAGAAAAACTCATGTCGAAGTATAGGCTGTTTTCCACCTCTGGGTTTTGGTTGCAACCGAATTGTGTTTGATTGTTTGTTTGTTTGAAGGCAGATGAATTATAAGCCAAAAAAGGGTTTGTTCGGGAATGAATTATTGCCCTTTTGATCTGGGGAGAATTTCAAATCAAATTTTGAAATTAAGGACTCAAACTTTAAGGAATTTTAAATTTAAGGTGATTTTTCTTCCTCCCCGTTGAGCACAGAATCTATTTTGCCGCTCAGACACAAACGCTGCTCTGCTGCCCACAGCCACCACAAAATACAACGTAAACCCCAAAATAGCAAACAGAAACAAAACCGAAATTTCCCCTTTCCTCATGGGTGGCCCTGAGCTGCACAGCCTCACGCTGCAGCCCTGCAGAAAGCGCAACCCTGCATTGCATGCAGCATTCCACGCTGCAAGCTCCCTGCTGCTCCCCAAATACCACGGTGCAGGATGCTGCATCGCCCGTGTGACAGTGCACGGAAAACGCACCATTTCTGCAATATTTCTGCAGCAATCATCCCCGCTGCAATATCGCTTCGCAAAAGCAACAGCGCCAACCCGGAGGCCGTTCTGCATGGGCCACGCTGCAGTTTGCACCAGCGAAATGACCCTGAAGCAGAAACAGGAGGCTGCGGTGAAGCTGCAGGGCGAGCATCGCGCCGCGTTGCAGCTGCAGCAATGCGTTGCAGCCACCACAAATGCAACCCCGCGCCCCGTTTCTGCTGGATCCCACTCCCACCGTGAGGCGTTTTCCCCCCAGTTTGCTCTCCCCCCTTGTCGGTGCTCTCCCCTAACCCAGGAAAACACAAGGAGGTGACCGGAGATCGCTAAAAACGTCATTGCAGCGATGGGAACAAGGAGCAAAACAAACACGTGGCAGCGACAGGGACGCACGGAGGGCAGCGGGGAGGAGGTTCTGCACAAACAGGGTCTGCAGCAGCAGGAATATAAAGCAATAAAAGCTTAAAAAAGGGGAAAAAAAGCATTATTCAAGTGATCAGGCGTTCAATTAGTCCTGGAAATTCAGAGAAGCAGCTGATGAGGTAGGTCAGTCCTCAGAAGTGGAGGCCCTGCATGCACGGAGGTCACTACGGGCAGGACGGAGCAGGAGGCGCTCGCTGCAGCGGGACGGGGCGGACGGAGGCACCAGAGAGGGTCTCGTGTGGAGAGACAATGATGGTGGGCGAGGAGAGCCCAGGGAATGGCGAATAACTATGGAAAAGTATGTTGTAAATGGAGATGGAGAGCTTGGTGGGACGGGTCGCCCAAGGAGGGAAATGAGTCATGTCCATGCAGGAGGTCTTGGACCCAGCAATGGAGCACGATGGAGACGAAGGTGGTGGGAATCCGTTAGCTCAAGCGTGGAGGCCACTTGCACAATGGGGATGGTTGAGAAAACAGTTGAGAAACATGTCCTTGGAGGTCCTGGACCAACCATATATCCTTTATATCCAACCATATATCCATATATCCAAGCATATATCCTTTGGGGATACATGTGGTGGAGCATGGGGTGGATGTCGCTCTGCAGGTCATCTTCATCCCAACCTCCTTTGGGCTCCCAGCTCCTGCAATGGCCGAGCTCGGAGACATCCCATGGAGAGAATATCCCAGGAGAAAACCAAAGCTTGGAAGAGACAGTTTCACATAGAGAAAAGTGGGAACAAATGGGAGGGATGGGACACCCATCTCCGTGTCCTGGCGAAGAGCCCATTGTCATCCTCCGCTTCTCCACCAAAGAAGCCCATGGAGACGAAGGGTGTTCGCCCTCCTCTTCCTCGTGGCCATCACAGATAGGCGTCACAGAATCACAGGATGTTCAAGGCTGAAGGGACCTCTAGAGATCATTGAGTCCAACCTTCCTGCTCCACCAGGGACACCCAGAGCACGGGGCACAGGGTGGCGTCCAGGTGGGTTTGGAGACCTCCAGAGAAGGAGACTCCACAGCCTCCCTGGGCAGCCTGGTCCAGGGCTCGGGCACCCTCCCAGTGCACAAGTTCCTCCTCACCTGGAGATGGAGCTGCTTGGGTTCCAACTTCCACCCACTGCCCCCTGTCCTGTCCCTGGCCACCACTGAGAAGACCTTGGCCCCTTCCTCCCTACATTCCCCTTCATGAACTTCTCCATGTTGATGAGATAGCCTTCTCATTAACCTCAGCCTTCTCTTCTCCAAGGCCCAACTCACTCAATGTCACCTCATGCGAGAGATGCTCCAGCCCCTTCCTCATCCTGGTCGCTCTACTTATCCCTGGCGGCCGCCCGGGCGTGGATGCGCGCGTGGCGGGCGAGCGAGGACTTGTTGCTGAAGCTCTTGCCGCACTGCGCGCAGGGGAAGGGCCGTTCGCCCGTGTGCGAGCGCTCGTGCACCGTGAGGTCCGCCAGGTACTTGAAGCTCTTGCCGCACGCGCCGCACGGGTAGGGCCGCTCCTGCGTGTGCGAGCGTCGGTGCATGGTGAGGTTGGACTGCTGGCTGAAGCGCTTGCCGCACGCGGCGCACGCGTACGGCCGCTCGCCCGTGTGCGAGCGCTGGTGCTTGTTGAGGTCCGAGGGGTTGGTGAAGGTCTTGGCACAGGCGCCGCACGCGTAGGGCCGCTCGCCCGTGTGCAGCCGCTGGTGGGTGGTGAGTGTCGAGAGGTGCCCGAAGCTCTTGCCGCACGCGCCGCACGCGTAGGGCTTGACGCCCGTGTGCGTGCGCTGGTGGGTCTTGAGGTGCGTGAGGCGGTTGAAGCTCTTCCCGCACTCGGCGCACACGTAGGGTCGCTCCTTCTCGTGCACCTCGTCAGGGAACCAAAGAATCACAGCATCATTATGGTTGGAAAACACCTTTGGGGTCATCAATGATCATCAATGAGAGTCATCAATGATCATCAATGAGAGTCATCAGTGAGACTCACCAATGATCATCAATGAGTCATCAATGAGACTCATCAACGATCATCAATTAGAGTCATCAATTATCATCAATGTGAGCCATCAGTGAGTCACCAATGATCATCAATGAGAATCATCAATGAGACTCACCAATGATTATCAATGAGACTCACCAATGATCATCAATGAGACTCATCAACGAGACTTCTGATGAGTCTCATCAGAAGCCCCTCGACACCATCCTGCTCAACCACGTTCCTAAGCACCTCATCAATCTACTGCCAGGGTTGATGGCATCCATGGGCAGCCTGTCCCAGGGCTTCACCACTCTTTCCACATAGAAATTGTTCCCTAAAACCTCACCTGAACCTCCCCGGGCGCAGCTTGAGGCCATTTCCTCTTGTCACTGTTCTACAAGAGCAGAATAACTACCATTGTCAGTAGTTATTCTGAAGACGTGGCTGATGTTGCCTCACCACAACCTCCTTTCAGGTAGTTGTAGAGGGCAATAAGGTCTCCCCTGAGCCCCCTCTTCTCCACCACATTAAATAACCCCAGCTCTCTCCGTTGCTCCCCATAAGATCTATGCTCCAGCCCCTTCACCAGCTTCATTGCCCTCCTTTGGACCCGCTCCAGCACCTCAATGCCCTTCTGGGAGCAAGAGGCCCAGAACTTGAATGCAGTGTCCAAGGCACAGGAAACGACCACTTCCCTGGTCCTGCTGACCACACCATTCCTGACACAAGCCAGGATGGTCTTGGCCTTCTTGGCCACCTGGGTGGCCTTGGCCATGGTTGGTGGCCTTGGTCTTGGCCACCTGGGCTCACGTTCACGGGCCCTTGACCAGCACCCCTAGACCCTTTCCTCTCACGTGGCTCTCCAGCCCCTCTGCCCAAGCATGGGCTCATCGTGACAGAACAAGACCCAAGCACAAGACCCAGGAGTCCAAGAGCCGGCACTTGGCCTCCTTCAACCTCCTGCGGCCGGTCTCACCTTGCCGTGCGCCGCCAGCTCGCGCTTCATCCAGAAGTGCTCTCCGCAGTCACGGCAGCGATGCGGCTTCTCCACGCGCTGGCCGACGACGCTCTCCTGGCTCTTGACGGCCCTCACGGCGCCCAGCAGCCCATGGCCGGGGGCTGGTGGGAAGGCCGAGGGGTCCTGGGGGATCCCTTTCTGCCTCCTGTACATCTCCTCCTGCATGGGGCTCTGGAGCACGAGGCCATCACAGCCACCCTGGAGGGCTTGATGAGACATCTCTGGCCTTTGCCGAAGGGACTGGGCTTCTCCTCTGCTCCCCGTCCCGGGACCTGTTGGGTGGAGACGTTGTGCAAGTTGCTTTCTGCTGGAGAAGCCAGTGGTGCCATTAACAGGACTTGACCGAACTCCGTTCCCACCCCACATGAACCCACCCGTAGATACAATGTGACCTTGAAAGTCCCATTTCCTTGAAGGCACCATGTCCTCAACTCTGTAGCACTGCAGTCTTCTCTACCTGAAGGGCAGGAAGAAGCAACGTCCCAACCCCCGAGACGGTCCCTTTCCCAAGGAATTCCCCAAGGAATGACAAAGACGAGACAACCTTGACAGAGAAGCTTGGTAAAGAGAGGCCATGGCTGGCCATGAAGGCAAGGAGGGCCACCGAGGTGGTCTTGGGAAAGCGGATGGGGACAATGAGCTCTCTCAAAGATCCTCTTCATCCTCAGAGAAGGATGAAGGCACAAGGGGCACCCGAGAGTCACCTAAGATCTCAAAGCTCTTGAGAGAGCTTGTGATCTTTGCTCCAAGACTTCTTTCCTCACCTTCTTTCATCTAAAGAGACTGAGATCTTAGTGAGATCCTACAAAGCCACCTCAAAATCCTTTCATGGTTCATCTTCTTGCTTCAGCTTGGCTTTTGAGGACAAGCAGCAGCCAAGACCATCTTTGCTACACAGGAGGACTCAAAGGTCTGGCATGGCGGCCCAAGAACAAGCTCCGAGTCTCAGGGAATTCCTACCTAGCTCCTCTTAGGGGTCCCGCTTTCCTCAACACCCCGTGAGTTGTCACAATGCTGGGACCTTCTTTTTTGGCCCTCTTCTTCACTTGGATGCATTGACCACCAAGGGCAAACAAACCCGCCCAGAGGAGATGGGAGATACCAGGGGAAGGAAGAGAAACCATCGGGAGCAAAGACGTCACACGGGACACCACCTCCATCCCGGAGCAATCCCAGGGGACATATCTCCTCGACAAGCTTTATGCTGAGAGTTCTCACCTGCCAGGAGCTCCCCTACCATTCCCCTCCCCAAAAAAGCATGTTTTCCTTCGGATTCTTACCCGTTTCTTGCAGGATCTGCACCTCATCCTCCGGATCGGGGGGAAACTTGAGCTTGCTCTGGGCCAATTCCTCCTGGGAATCGTCGTCGGAGATGAGCTGTGGTTCCAACACGGGGCTCTGGGGCCCCCACGGGTTTTCGGGGCTCTCCGTATCCTCTGGGGCCACCTCCTCCACCTTCACGCGCACAGTGACCTGTAGGACGAAGGCACAAGGGGCACCCAAGAGCCATGGAGAGGAGCCGTGATGGGGGAGCGTCACAAATGGGCTCCATGCCCATGGACCACAGAGCCCTCCTGCTCCTCGTGCCCTGCTCTTGGGTTCTTGGGGCCATTTGGGACCAACAACCCCTCGAGCATGAAGCTCTGGGGAGATTTTGTGGGATGTTTGCTGGAAACCAGCTCCAAAGGTGACAAGTGGCACCAGGAGCTGGTTCTGTGACCAATTTGGAAGGAGAGCAGATGCAGAAGGTCCCTGCATCCACATGGAGAGGATGGGACCATGCACAAGGGCCACATGGTGAGGACAGGACCATGCAGGAGGCCACACAGTGAGGACAGGACCATGCAGGAGGCCACACAGTGAGGACAGGACCATGCAGAAGGTCCCTGCATCCTCATGGTGAGGATGGGACCATGCAGGAGGGTCCCTGCATCCTCATGGTGAGGACGGTACCACGCAGGAGGCCACATGGTGAGGCCAGGACCATGCAGAAAGTCCCTGCATCCTCATGGTGAGGCCAGGACCATGCAGAAGGTCCCTGCATCCTCATGGTGAGGACAGGACCATGTAGGAGGTCCCAGCATCCTCATGGGGAGGACAGGATCATGCAGGCGGCCACATGGAGAGGACAGGACCATGCAGGAGGCCACGTGCTGAGGACAGGACCATGCAGGAGGTCCCTGCATCCACACGGTGGGGACGGGACCATGCAGGAGGGTCCCTGCACCCACAGGGTGAGGACAGGACCATGTAGGAGGGTCCCTGCACCCACAGGGTGAGGACAGGACCATGCAGGCGGCCACATGGAGAGGATGGGACCATGCAGGAGGTCCCTGCATCCTCATGGAGAGGACAGGACCACGCAGGAGGCCACGTGCTGAGGACAGGACCACGCCAAGGGGCTGCCCGGCGCCCTCCTCACCTGCTGCTCCCAGGCGCCGCCGGCCTCTCGCCGCCCCGGCTCGAAGCTCTCGGCCAGGGCCACGGCCTGGGCGCACGACGCCGGGTGCCGCACCCACACCCAGCTCTGGATGTCCTCGGGGAGGATGCTGAGGAACTGCTCGAGCACGAGCAGCTCCACGATCTGCTCCTTGGTGCGCGCCTCGGGCTGCAGCCAGCGGCGCGACAGCTCGCGCAGGCGCCGGCACGCGGCGCGCGGCCCCGCCGCCTCCTGGTAGCGGAACTGCCGGAAGCGCAGGCGCCGCAGCTCCGTGCCCGCCGGCAGCTCGGGGCGGCGGGCGCCGCTCCCCGGGGGCTCCACGGGTGCTCCTGGCAGCTCCACGGGTGCTCCTGGCAGCTCCGTGGGTGCTCCTGGCAGCTCTTGCTGCAAACGGGGTCCCGAAGGTGCCAGGGACTCCTTTGCACCCAGGTCAGGCTGCTGGCACCGCTGGGAGTGCAGCTCTGTGGGTGCTCCTGGCAGCTCCATGGGTGCTCCTGGCAGCTCCGTGGGTGCTCCTGGCAGCTCTTGCTGCAAACGGGGTCCCGAAGGCACTGGTGGCTCCTTTGCACCCAGGTCAGGGTGCTGGCGCCGCCGCGGCTGCAGCTCCACGGGTGCTCCGTGCCACTCCATAGGTGCTTCTTGCAGCTCCGCAGTTCCTCCTTGCCGCTCCATGGGTGCTCCTTGCCGCTCCATGGGTGCTCCTTGCAGGTCTTGCTGCAAACGGGGTCCCAAAGGCGCTGGTGGCTCCTTTGCACCCAGGTCAGGGTGCTGCCACTGCTGAGAGTGCAGCTCCATGGGTGCTGCTTGCAGCTCCATGGGTGCTCCTGGCAGCTCTTGCTGCAAACGGGGTCCCAAAGGCGCTGGTGGCTCCTTTGCACCCAGGTCAGGGTCCTGGTCAGGGTGCTGGCACCGCCGGGGCTGCAGCTCCATGGGTGCTGCTGGCAGCTCCACGGGTGCTCCTGGCAGCTCTTGCTGCAAACCGGGTGCCGAAGGCGCTGGTGACTCCTTTGCAACCAGGTCAGGGTGCTGGAACTGCAGGCGCCGCAGCTCCATGGGTGCTGCTGGCAGCTCCGTGGGTGCTCCGAGCCGCTCCGTGGGTGCTCCGAGCCGCTCCGTGGGTGCTCCGAGCCGCTCCATGCCCCAGGCTCCCGCGCCGGCTGTGCCAGGAGAGGCGACGCTGCGAGGACGGAGCAGGGCCGGTGAACGTGCCCAGCGGCTCCCCGCTTGCAAAGCTGCCCTTAGGCCCAGCTCTGCAGACCCCCAAGGAACGGGCACCGCTGCACCAGGGGGCCCAAACCCACCCCCCAATTCAGGCAATGCTGGCTCCCTGTTCCCAGCCTAGCAAAGCTCCAAAAAAACTTGCAAATCCACCTTTTCCACCCACCACTGCAAAGTGCTTAGGATCTGGGTCCCACGCGAGACCCTCTCCCGTCCTTTCCAGCCTCCGGGAGCTCTGGTCCGCTTCCCAAAGGCACCTTCTCCAGCTTCCAGCACTGCAAATGCTCCGGGGGGCTCCTAAAGCTGCCCCCCGGCCAGCTCCCAGCTTTGCAAAGGCTGCAGCACCAGGTAAATGGTTCCTCCCAGTCCTGACTGCCCCCCCGCCTTGC